AATTGGAACAGCATAGGGCATTTCAGGGTGCCAAATTCTACCAGTGCCACTTAACAGCCATACCAGTAATTCCGTTCCTTTGCGTCTTCATATTTGGTAAGCTTCTTTGATCATAGATGCAGTTTCAGTTAAAACCATTTCAACTTTTGATTCCGGTTCTGCAAGTTCATTATTGATTGTTAAGGGAAAAACGTATGGCGTCTCGGTGTTTGTTTGTGATATTCCATTCGTTGTACATTTTACCGATGGTATCTCGCAAAGAAGTTCAACATTTTTTTGTTCATATTCAATCATTCTTTGCCTTATTTATTTTTCATTGTCTTAAACACGTGTTGGTCTTTTTTGTGCTTCCTGTCCATACAAGGAAACTGTTTTCATCGTTTCCCAAAGGTCGCTGTCAAATTTGGCACGAAAGACTGTTGTAGAATCATCTGTCCAACAAATGTATAAAAAGAGTTTCAGTGTGTGTTGACGCCATTTCAGCCAGTATCTGTGGTACATATCTGATTTGATATAATATTTGAAATAATCAACCGTCTACATAAAGTTATTAAAATCCAAAAGGCGTTATTAACGTTATTACCCTGAATATCAAATTTCATGTAATATTCTAATAATTTTTTAGCCCGTGTCACAGAGATCTAGATGTTTGAACTACCGACAATAAATTGATATTCAGCCTCCGTTTTTTATACTCTCGATTTCCTGTATACATATGATAAAATCCAATGCTATCGAATAGTAGCCAAAATAAAACAAAATAACACCTCATATTTCATTCGTTTAAATCTATGTTGAGCAGTGTAAATTTTGACTCATTAACCTAAAGATAAACGGGTTCTTTCCCTTGTCAGTGTCCAAATTTAAATATAGGGCATGTTTAAATCAACAAAAGAAAGTTTCCAGAAGCTATCCCTTTCAATAAAAGACAGAAGTCTTCTTTATATCCCTCTTTATTTAAGTTGTTCAGAACTGAAGGAAAGATTAATAAAATATCGCTTGACAGTTTTTCTTCAGGCGAATCTGGGAAAAGTCTTCTTCGATTTTTTCCAACTGACCCATAATATGTAGCTTTTTTAGGAGTTTTTGTGTAGTGAAACTTGATTTTTTTTAATCTCTTGAGGTGGCGGGAAAGACATTGATCTTTTTGGTGGTTGAAGCCATAGTCCTTTCCTTTTTCGTTTATTGTTTTTTCCTGAAAGTAAAAGTAATCAATATAATAACAAGAGTGTCTCGCCTGCGTTACTGACCATTGATTTTATGTTAAAAGTCTTAAAGATAAAGGTTTTACCTCAAGTATCACATAAACTTAACATATGTAAAGATTCGTGGCAATGTGTTCAAGGTCACATGAAACCTGTCAGACAGACACGTACACCTTACGATTATTCAATGCACCAAATACAGTTGACCTAGTGCTTATGGTAATTGAAAAAAAAATACCTAACCATAAAAACTCAACATTGACCAATGCAATGAACATTATTATCTAAGAAAGACACTGTTTTGTTTGAGAAAGATCAATCTCATCTTTATTTTATATTTCGCGTATTATTACGAAAAAATTACTCAAATTAAAACAGAGATGTATAACAACAGATTTTTTTTTATCATAATTGGGTACACACTCAAAATCAACTAAGCTAAAACGCTTAGTTAGAAATAAATTCTTTTTAAAAAAAAATGCACCAATGCCATTTCTAACTGTTCCATGGAGTGCAACAATACATTGATCGATCCAACTGAGATGGTGAAATTGTTTTAATGTCAGAACCTACCGCAATTGACCGTTCAAATATTCAATTTCCACGGTTCACGATTGCTATATGTGTGTGTGTGTGTGTGTGTGTGTGTGTGTGTGTGTGTGTGCAATCAAAGCACGGGACTGCACTTGTAACAACTTTAATAGATGACTATATGTTTTACCAACTGTAACAGTCTGCATATTAATGTTAATTGTGCACACGAAACTAGTAGTCTTAACATTAATTTAAGTGATTTTATAGTTAAGCAAACGCATTTTGTATATTTACATTCTGAAATACTTAAAGATAAGAACCCAAATGCAGAATTAGGGATCCTTGTTATCATCTTTAATAGTTAAAATGAAACTTACACATACAGGTTTCAAGGCATTCTCCAATTTGATTACCTGTGATTAATACAATAGATTCCTTATATGTATACAAATATCCATATTTTGAATGAACTATATCTTGAAATGAATTTTAGCGTCTGCATATAATTATGAAAAACACCTTCTTTTTGTCAGTTTTATTTCGTATTTTCTTAACACTTAAAATCTATATAGATTTGATTACTTTACCCCTAAAATATACCTATTTTTCAAACTGCTACAGTCATCTGTGAATGATTTTTTCAAAACCGTAAACGACAACAGGGAGATGATATTTTTAAAGGTGTGTATAATTCACTACAAACCAGTAAAAGTCTGAAATGGCCTACATCTGTACTCGACTGTACTGATTTTTACTCGACCAGTCTGAATTGGTCTGAAATTTACTTGATAATACTCGAATGGAAGTCTGAACCATACTTAACAGTCTGAACTTGTACTCGACCTTTACTCGACCAGTACTTAACCATTTTGAACGCGTGTGAACCATGCTCGACTTAGTCTGAACCATGCTCAACCTAGTCTGAACCATACTCGACCTAGTCTGAACCATACTCGATCTAGTCTGGACTATACTCGACCAAGTCTTAACCAACCTAGACCTATTTTTATTATCTATCAATTGTATTTCATCAATTTAGGAACGGTTTTTAACAACAGCTATTTCCCCTGGCTAGAAATTTGAACAACAATTTGAAATTAAAAATGTATTCAATATAGCATCGAAACCAAAATTTCACAATAAACATAATATAACTTCATCAACACTTATATACATACATATATATCACCTTTAAAATAAAAATAAAACAAGCTGATCAAATAATCTCAAAACTGAATTGTGACTAATATTTCCAATGTTAATCAAAATTTTTTGAATGTTTCAGATATATTTTATGGTTACTGGACAATTTTCACCATTAACTTAAGCCTCGTATAGATTTATGGTGTCAGTTGAGTTAAGTTAATAATGCAGTGAACATTTTTTTATTAAAATATATATAAAATAGCATATAAAGCAACTTAATAAATTAAAAAAATGACACCTTTGTTTTGTTAAACCAAGAATTTAATATAATCATGATAATAGAACTTCCATAGTAATCCTGTGATAAACTTTTAAAAAAGGAAATGTGTTCCAAAGTTTCAGTAAAAAATTATTTCAATTAACTTTAAATAATTTTTGTCTAAATTAAAGACATGGCATACAAGAAGCACTTTAATAAGGTTTAATTACCTCAGTACATGTGTGTTTTACAGGTAAAAAGAAAGACCTATTTTTCATAAACCCGTGTATTACTTATCTAGTGAATTCAAAAGGCCTTGCGATTTAAGTTTCACAGGATGTTGCAATTTTGAATGAATGTTATTTAGAATTTTATACTCTCTGACCAGGTGTGATCTTTTTCATGAGTTTGCCCCAAGCAGGAGGTATTTTTTCATACTTCACCACTAATCAGAAGAACAATTTTATGAATTTCTTTAATTTTTATCCCTTTTTGATATATATTGTATATAATATATCCCAAATTATAATAATAGATATATTTCTAAAATAAGGTTAAACAATTTCAGTGATTTTGTTGGCTGTTGTTACCTCGTTAAAATGATAATTATATAACTATTGTACATTTTTTGTATGTAACCATGAAACCTATGTAGTTTTTATTCAGGAATTTAGGAAAATTAATTAAAAAAAAACACACATGCCAAACAAGAAGCACCTTAACAAGGTGTAATTGCTCTCAGTATTGGTGTGGTTTTTAGGTAAAAGAAAATCTTTTTTTAACAAAACTCTAAAACTTTAAAATTAATATAATTAAATTATTATATAAGATCATTTGATTAAACTATCTCTATTCGATAAATCTGAGAATCATGTAAGAATGTAAAAATCTGTTTTTATAATATATCTTTATTCTATTGTGGCTGTTGTCATGTCAGTTAAAAAGAAATTTATTTTAACAGTTAAAATTTAGAAAAAGTAGAGGTTATTTGGTCAAGTATGGTTCAGACTGGTCGAGTATTGTTCAGACCTTTGATCGAGTATAGTTTAGACTGAAAAAAATAGGTCGAGTACAGGTCGAGAATGGGTTAAGACTGATTCAGACTGGTCGAGTAATAGTTCAGACTATTTTCAATGGTAAAGATAAGGGTCAAGTACAAATCAGTACAGTCGAGTATGGTTAAGACTGGGGTCGAGTAATGTCGGGTAAAATTCAGACCAATTCAGACTGGTCGAGTAAAAATCAGTACAGTCGAGTACAGATATAGGCCATTTCAGACTTTTACTGGTTTGTAGTGATTGATTTCTTAAATTGATAACCATAAAAAGCAAAAATGTGAGATATTCACTTGTGACAGTCGTTACAAGATTAAAAGGTACATGAGCGTACTTAGAGCTTCACCCTAAGAGGTATCTTAGGAAGTTCATATAGAAATGGAATTTAGTCTTAAAGGAGGCAAGCAATATTAACAATATAACGACTTACACAAAGTATTCAGCAAGCTGACATGAAGTATCATTATAACGGTCTTTCTGAGGTTTGAGTTTTTAAGAAAATGCTGAATTATTTGAAATCCAATGCAAGTTTGCCCCAAGCATAGATTGGCTAAGCCATATTTGTCGAAACGTTTTAAATTTATGCTTTGGAATGGTGTTTGCATTGATTTGGCCGTCTCACTATTCGAACGCCACTGATGAATCTCATATAGGCGAAACAGGCGTCAGTGGTACCAAATTATAAGCCAATTACATTTGAAGAGTATTCATTAATGATAATATTCACTTATTTGTCCCTTCGTCATTGCAGGAATTAAAGTTTCCTATATTCATCAGATAAATAAAAAAATATTGAACTCACTGTCACAGTTTTTAATGCATTGAGCCATTTCGGGTCCTGTAAAAGATATAAACAGGTATAAATGGCACTTAGTGCAAAACTTAAATATTTTGAATAGATTTAATGTATTGTTGATTAAGTTCAAAATGTTTTCATTGAATTCTTTATACATTTTAACTAACCGTTACATAATCCAATTGTATTGTTTTATTGTAAATTTGCCAGTGTATAGTTAAAAAAAATACCCCATAAATTCATGGTCATCATCTCACGACTACTCTTGTTCGTAAAGTGAAATTTTTCTGTCCGTTTCTGTAAAATAATGGTACTCAAGTGACAGAATTTAGCTAAAAATATCATCATTGGTGATATATAATCCGTTCAACATTTGTTTTGGTAAATATTCAATTATTATCATAATTGAATATGTGTGCTAAATAACCCAGATTTTATGTGTATATCCATTACCATTTGGTCAATGAGATCATTAAGAGTAGTGTATTTTAAATTATATTATATGCATGTGTTTTAATTGCATGCAATATGGCAATGTAAATGCCGTTTTGAAACATATATTTTATGATAAAATAAACAGAAAAAAATGTCAAAAATATCTTGGTAACCCGTCAGATGATGATTTAAACAAATCACTACATGTAAGCACAGTATTGATTTTATGTTGTTGTTATTGCGTCATCTCAGTTTCAATATTTTCCCGTTTTCGTTATTTGATTTCTAACTTAATAGTGAAGATAGTTTCCAATATCTTAACTTAATCCTGTTTTAATGCACACATCTAATTTAGCTCGTGTCTTCTTACACATAAAAAAATAATATAGATTGGTCAATAACAAACATTAAAATGTAAAAATAAAATTCACATTCGGAAACTGATATTTTGTTTGTCAATTTTTATTAATTTGTTTTTTTAGTATTTGAATTCCATGATAGTTATTCTATAATTAACTGTCTATGTTATTACAATTATCTATCTATTCTAAAAAAAAAATCTAAAATAAAGCATGTAATGAGGCATATCATTAGGCCGTCAACTGCATTTTATAAGAAAAAAGTACTTACCTGGCGAATATTCATCCCTGCACTGTCGGACACAAACACGTGTAGGAATGTCGTCTGTTTGTATAAATAAGCATTCATTAGATTATTTTAATAACTCAGAATATAAACATGTTTTTTTTTAAATCAACATACCTGCTGAAGCAATTTCAAGTCCAAGTCATGAATAAATCTTTAAATTTGTTACTTCCGGCAAAAAGCAAATCTTACAATTGACAACCATGGACCAAATCAGAAATAGTCTTTTTACTGGATTCTAAGTTGAGCAAATATCTACCAATCAATTAATCTATTTAACAAACGGTCGTGTATTAAGGAGAATTTATTTTCTGTAGGTAGGTATAATTCTATACTATTTTTACTAGCACGACGCACATTTGCAACGTATTTCACTTCGTTGAAAGTTAAATTTGTAATCAAAATATCGTGTTTTTACGAATTTATTTTATCATGTTTATATAAGAATAATTCTAAATAGTTCTGTTATAGGTTAAAAGAAAATGCGACTTTTTAAAAAAAATATAAAAGAAATTTTATTTCTATGAGGTATTCTTTTATAATCCATATGTCGTTAAGGCATTATTAATTTACTGACTTTATTAGCTTTTGGGAATTATGCGTTATATCTGTACTTACCATGTTGTTATTTCGATCGAAATTTATATTGGTATAGTAAATCTTATTTTGTAAGAAATATGGTATTAAATCAATATCAGATATCTGTTATTATTCAGTTCATATCAATGATCAATAAAGACTGTCAGATTTTATACTCTGAAAAGTGACTTCCTTCATATCTTCAACACAACTAAATAATAATGTCATAAATTAACGTGAACAACAAGTTCTTGTCTGCTGTATATGGTACAAATACTCATAATGGTATGATACAATCTTTGCAATGTTTGATAAGATTGAATTAACATTAATGGTTCCAATTGTACTGCACCAAATGCTCATCTCGACAATTAGTACAAATGTCCCTTAAGTGATGCTCGAGGCAAATATATTTGAAAATACAAACCTAACACAAACGTCCAAGAGCTGATAAAATCAAAAAGGACCAACATTATAGCCAGACACGACCAGGGAATCAGAGCTTTGCGAGAGGGAGATACATTCTTTAAATCAATATGACAATTTCGATAAAACTATAGTCATATTTTCATAGTAGTACCGAAGTACTGAGTGAGCTACTGGAAAAGCGATAAGTCAGAGTATGTAAGCTAGTTTAAGTATATTATCCAATATTTAGAAGAACGTTTGTCTTGTTAAACATCTTATCAGACATTTAACAAAATTTTTTATCATTTTATTTGGTAGTTTTACAAGGAAAATGTAAAAAAAAATACATCTTTTAGCTCAAATGACGAATATAAGAGCAAACTACTATTACTTACCTGGCACACCTCCAGCTTGCTGCCTGCAAACCAATACGAAAACTATTAACAAGCTAACAAACATCTTGTTACTTGATTCTAAAAAGTACTTGACGAATAAATCTACGAACAACTGTACAGTTAATTCGAACTGATAATGTTTAATTTAACATTGCTGCTATCGATTATATACGATACATGAAATATGATCATATGTTACTTTTTTTGAACTTACGATATCATGCCAGACAATTTTCATCTATAAGAAATCAATTGTAACAGTCTGCATGTTTATGTTAATTGTGCACACGAATCTAGTAATGTCAACATTACTTTAAGAGATTATATAGTTAAGTAAATACATTTTGTATATTTACTTTCTGAAATACTTAAAACTAAGAACCCAAATGCAGAATTATGCATACTTGTTCTCATCTTTAAAAGTTAAATAAAAATAAATGTTTTCAAAATTTTGCTCTAGAAACTGAATTTTGTTGTAAGCAACTTTCTTACCATTGTTCTTATCTTTAGTAGTTAAAATAAAACTTACACATACATGATTCAAGGCATTCCCCCACTTTCTTACCTACAATTAATATAATAGAATCTTTATTTGTATACAAGCATTTTTTCATGAATGAAAGTCTATCGTGAAATGAATTTTAGCGTCTGCATATAATTATGAAAAACACTCACTATTGGTCAATTTTATTTAAAATAGAATTTAAGTATTGTTGATCAAGTTCAAAATATTTTTTATTGAATTCTTTCTACAATTCAATTTAATGTTACACAATGCAATTGTATTGTTTTATTGAAGATTTGCCAGTGTATAGTTAAAACAAGTTGCTTTCTTTAAAAAAAGAAAAGGAATACGTTAACCCAAGACCGCTGACTTGTCACCAAAAAATGTTTGCTGAATTTTTGTTTGCTTTTGAATTGAAATAATTGACTATGAATAGAATAAGATAATGATAATGTTAAAACACCTTTATTAATTAAAAATGTGTAAATGTGTGTGGATTCTTGCACAAGTCATTTGAAAGCAATGTTGGATAGTCGTGAATAGAAAAGTGTATATATATATATACAGCTACTATTTGAGTATACATTTTAAGACTATTTTAATTATTACTAGGGAGTGTACATCATTTTTTTCATAATCGTATTGCAAATCCAGGTTCTTGCAAACCGGATGTTTAATGTAAACTGCTCAAACCAATTGAAATATAAATTTAAGCACTCAGCATTATAATCTGGATGCATTTATTTTATCTATCAGATCTTCATATTTTGTTCCTGGATGCCTTCAATTATTCTTAACTCGTTATTTAATCTGTCTGTACTCATAGTAGATGTGTATAGATAAATTTAAAGTCCAATTTCCATGTGAAGTGAAACCCTGTGGCATGCAACTTATAAGAAGGTTTTGTATATTTTTCTTTAGAGTAACCCACCAGCTTCATTGGAACCTCTTATATAGAGACTTATTTTGGTCTCATAAAACAACTCAAATTCTAAGGATTTCCTGATTTTACTTAATTGAATAAATCCAAATATTATACAGGAAAAATTGGTTTTGAAGAATATCTTATTTTCAGCAGTTTTATGAATACCCGAGCATACTCTCAGAAGAACCAATTTATATAAAAAGATATGTAAATATAAAAAGATACCAGGATTAAAATGGTGTACGCCAGACGCGAGTTAAGTTTACAAAGAAACATTAGAGACGCTCCAGTAAAAAAAGTTAAAAAAAAGCCAAATAAATAACGAAGTTGAAAGTAATTCGGGACCCAAAATTTCGAAACAAAGGTTTTGCCGAATACATCTAAAGTAATCTATTCCTGGGGTAGAAAATCCTTAGCATTTCTAAAGTGTCAAAGTTTATAATAGGATAGTGACTCAAAAAAGAAACAAAAGAGAAACAGCTAGAGGTTAGAATAACGTACGTAATGATGACGACCGTGCTTGAAAGTCACATGTCAAGCTCTTATTGCCGTGTCCTGAATTTAGATAAGAAAAGCGAAAATTCACATTCGCGAGCGAAATTGATATTTATGCATGCACATGGTATTTTTGCGCAAGAAATAGTAAATAGAAAGCATACACACTGATACTCTAGATAAGAATACGCATTTGACTTATAAATCCATACTAAAACAGTATAAAATAATTAACATAGTAATTAAATTTTGTTATGAGTATTGTAAAATATTAATTACTTTTTTGTGAGATGCAAGGATTTAAAAATCCTTGTGAATTGAAACCATGCAAGTATTTTTTCATTTACGACCGTTTAAAATTTAGATATTTAGCTAACTTTGGGTACGCACCCCTGCTCATTGGTGCTCATACGTTGCATATAATTTTCATAAATGTAATGACTGTTCAAACCTGTGAGACATAATGCACGTATATATGACAATTTTGATTATATTCTATTAAGAATAAGATCAGTCTCAGTTTATACTTAATAATGAATATTCTCTCGGTCTGGTAGTATCTTTTAATGAAATTGGATATTTCTTGACACAAAAATCCTTTTGCTTAATTATCTTTCTGCTTTCTGACCACTGCGTTTCCGACCTAAGATAATTATTTATAACAGAAATATCGTTTCCTTAATTTTCTTCATGCTTTACGACATTTTCCCAAGCTATGAATGAAATACAAAATATCGAAGGAAATAATGAGTTTATTCTTGGACATTATATATCAATAAACTATTCCCAGGTTTATTGGCACAATGCACAACAGCACGCTGTATTAAATACTACACACACAACGCGTACATGGACCATCTAAAAGCATGAATTAAATAATCGCGTTATCATTATACTTGATATCTAATATACATTCGCTTTATTAAAAACACATGTTTTGTCAAAAGGCAAATAGGTTCTATCATATAAATGATTGTTTGACTGCAACCTAGTCTTTATTGTTTTACTATCAAATCTACAAATGAACCTTGATTGTTGAAATATACAATGTCACGTGGTAGCATATTCGTAGAGGGACCGTATCAAAGACATAGATAACTACCTGTATAAATGATCGAAACTTTTCGAGAGGTTCCGAGAATCTTGATTCCGAGGATACTGAATGGCCCATAGACAGTTCCAAAACTCACCAATATATAGGCGTGAACCCCTCATGGCGTTCACGCAAAAATACCCCATAAATTCATGATCATTGTCTCACGACTACTCTTCTTCGTTAAGTGAAAGTTTTCTGTCCGTTACCGTAAAATAATGGTACTCAGGTGACAGCATTTAGCTACAAAATTTACCATTGGTGATATTTAATCCGTTCAACATTTGGTTTGGTATATATTCAAGCAATAACATAATTGATTATGTGTGCTATATAATCAAGGTTTTAGGTGTATATCCAATACGATTTGGTCAATGAGATCATAAAGAGTAGTGTATTTCAAATTATAATCTATGCATGTGTTTTAATTGCATGCGATATGGCAATGTAAATGCCTTTTTGAAGCATATATTTTATGATAAAAGTATAGAGCAGAAAGTGGCAAAAATATCATGATAACCCGTCAGATAATAATTAAAAGAAGTTTCAATATTTTTCGGTTTTTGTTATTTGGTTTCTACTCACATCTACTTAGCTCGTCTCTTCTTACGTATATGGAAAATCTCTATTTTTGGGCAAACAAATGGAGAGTTGTCTCATTGGCACTCATACCACATCTTCCTATATCTAAGTTCATATAACTCTGACTTTTGACTGTCCCTTTGGTATCTTTAGTCCCCCTTTTTGAATCATTGTAATAAACAATAATAATTCCAATTCATCAAATGAGTGTTCATTAGCCTTAAGTGCATGCTACATAATATATTAGGGCATTTAAAAAGCATATTTTTGCAATATTGAATTTTTTATGCTCAAATTGTGATAGTTGACATTGTTCGATTAAAACATTAAAAAGTAAAACACCAAAGTTCAAAATTAAACTATTTTATTGTCTATCATATAAATGCCATTGCCATGAAACCTGGTCAACAGTCTTATAAATCCCTAAGTTAAGGTCATGCCAAGTTTTATAAAAAAATGGTCAAGTCTTTCTATTCACAAAGTTCCAGGAACACAGTTAATTTACTCATATTCATGTACTTTGATTTCGTAGTACATGTACTATATCAAAAATATACTTAAAGGACCTTATTCTTGAGATAAATACTAATGAATATTCTCTGTTCATGCCTCTTATCTATCAGACTAAAAAAGGAGTATGATATCATTAAGTGATACGACAACTGTTGATAAGCAGGTTTCAACCCCAAGTCTATCGAACACATTGCATTTGCGGCAATTTTTGTAAAATGCAGTATTTCATTTGCGCCAAAAACCAGGCCTGCGTTTGTGCCACTTTATATTTAAAATATAACGAAAATGTAAGTATAAGTTGTATTCTGAATACGAGGCTCGTATAAGAAATGTTGTAGAATATCCCCACACTGGGTAAGTTATTAAGTGAGTTCATAATTATACTCAACTGAGAGCTGAGAGTCACTTAGAGGTATGAAATTGTGCAAATCAAATGTCTATTGGCACAAATGCAAAGCACCGAGTGTATCAACACCACTGCAGTCACATGACCATGAAAATTCAGTAAAACTACTGAAAGACAAATCACGGTTTATCTCATTCCTCCGTCATCATAACAACTTAATCCTCAGAATAATCTGCATTATGTAAATTTTTTACTATTCAAAATATAACGGAAAATTTAAGTATAAGTTGTATTCTGAATACGAGGCTCGTATAAGAAATGTTGTAGAATATCCCCCACACTGGGTAAGTAATTAAGTGAGTTTATAATTATACTCAACTGAGAGTCACTTAGAGGTATGAAATTGTGCAAATCAAATGTCTATTGGCACAAAAGCAAAGCACCGAGTGTATCAACATCACTGCAGTCACATGACCGTGACAATTCAGTAAAACTACTGAAAGACAAATCACGGTTTATCTCATTCCTCCGTCATGATAACAATTTAATCCTCAAAATAAATATTCAAAACGTACACAACAACCAATAGTATTCTCTTTATCAACAAACCCGAATGGAAATTGTCAAGTGACATGATTAAAACATCTAAATATTTTGGAGAACTTATAGATGCAGACTAAATTCAAATTTAA